CCTGCTGCCTGTGCCCCCCCCCCCCTACGGCGGCAGCAGCAGCAGCAGCAGCAGCAGCAGCAGGAGAAAGAAGAAGCGGAAGGGCAAGCACAAGCCCTACGGCGACCCTGCAGCAGCAGCAGCAGCAAAGCCAGCAGCAGCACGGCCAGCAGCAGCACGGCCAGCAGCAGCAAGGCCAGCAGCAACTGCTGAAGAGGAAACAGAGCCAGAAGATGAAGTCGACTCCCCTGCTAATGCAGCAGCAGCAGCAACAGCAGCAGGATCTTCCGGGGAAGCAGCAGGAAAGCCGCCAGCAGCAGCAGCAGCAGGAAAGCCGCCAGCAGCAGCAGCAGGAAGGCTGGCGTCAGCAGTGAAGGCTCCGGCAGCAGCTCGGCTAGCAGCAGCAGCAGCAGCAGCAGCAGCTCTTGGCGAAGCAGCAGCGGGACGGAGTTCCCCAGCAGCAGGAAGTCGGGGTGGCGCTGCAGCTGAAGCAGCGAAGGCTGGTAAGGGCGAAGCAGCAGCAGCAGCAGCAGCAGCAGAGTTATCTCAAGCCATGGCGAGCTTCTCGGAGCTCACCTTGTCCCCTCCGGGAGACAAAGCAGCAGCAAGTCCCAAGTCCGTGCCCAAGACAAGCAGCCTGTCGGGAGCAGCAGCACGTCGTGCTGCATCTCCCACAGCAGCAGCGCCGTCTGCTGCTGCTGCTGCTGCCATGGCCGCCGCGGCTGCAGCAGCAGGAGCAGCAGGAAAAACAACAGCAGATCCCCTCCGCGGGGAGCCCCACTTCCCGGGGGCCCTCCAAGGGGCCCCCCTCTCAGAGAGCCCCCTGGCCAGGGGCCCCCAGACGGGGGGCCCCCGGAAGAGGGGCCCCCCAGACAGTAGCTCCCCGGCGGGGGTCCCCGTGATCAAGGGCCAACTGACCGGTGGCCCCTCGATGGAGGGGGGCCCCTTGAACAAGGGGGCCCTGGCTGGGGGCCCCCTGAAGAAGGGACCAATGGATGGGGGCCCCCTGAACAAGGGGCCCCCGGGTGGGGGCCCACTTAACAAGGGGCCCCTGGCCGGGGGCCCCCTGAAAAAGGGGCCCCTGAGTGGGGGTCCCCTAAACAAGGGGCCCCTGAGCGGGGGCCCCCTTCTCGGGAGCCCCCTGACGAGGGCCATCATGGGTGGGGGCCTCTTGAACAAGGGGCCCCTGGCTGGGGGCCCCCTGGCAGGGGCCCCCCCGGGTGAGGGCT